GATTTCAAACAAGAAGCAATGAGTTAAATAAATCATGTCATATCCTGAAAAGGAATAGTATACAATCTAGAAAAATTATGCTTTAGGAAAATATTTATTGACTTGAGGAAAATATATGTTTAAGGAAATAATGTGAGATATAGAACAGCCTATACTGTACAACATTAATTATATAACATCCACTTATGAATATGATAAAACATATGATCATATCCCCAATACTTCTGAAGGATGGACTCTGAGGTAGACAGTTTGTTTGGCTAAGCTGGATGAAGATGATGACAGTGAACCATTAAACGGATTTCATCTCCTTTTTCTGGCTTTGTGCACCCTGAAAACCAGGAACATAAATATCAGAAAGACTATACTTTTTTTTTTTCCTGCTTTAACTTTAAGTTCTGGGATACATGTGCAGCATACGCAGGTTTGTTACACAGGTGTACATGTGCCATGGTGGTTTGCTGCACCCATCAACCTGTCATCTAGGTTTTAAGCCCTGCATGCATTAGGTATTCATCCTAATGCTCTCCCTCCTCTTGTCCCCGACTCCCTGACAGACTCCAGTGTGTGATAGTCCCCTCCCTGTGTCCATGTGTTCTCACCGTTCAATAGAAAGACTATACATTTTGTACAGATACTAAATGATTACCATAGTGTCACCTTCTTAGCTCCCAGAGTAAATAGATGAATTTAAGGTCATAAAACATGTGCTAAAAGGAGGCCATAAAAGAATATTCCAGTGTACTCCTGACATCATCACCTCATCAAAATTAATTTTGTACTGTAGGAACAATGTTAATTACCGTGACGTTTAACTGGAAAATAAACAAGTTATTTAAAATCTAGGACATCTGCTAGGAACACAAATAAAAAAGTAAGCAGGCTAAGGGAAATGCCAAGAGCGTGCCCAGCTCTTGCAAAAGAGATCTTTCACCTTCATGTACAAACTCAAGTTCACACTGATCTCTGATGCAATAAAAAATGTACTGTACACCATGAGATGAATCACCATAAACATTGTGGACTGTCATCCTGTAGAAGTGTGGAAGGCCACCTGTTCTTTGTACAAAGGACACAGACGCTGGTGCTGGGACCTGAAACTAAAATGAGGAAGAGAACTCAATACGGATGCTGCCCCAGCCCCAGCCCCACGCTGATCTTTAGTGCAATAAAAAATGTACTGTACATTGTGAGACCGATGTACAGTACATGGTGAGACAAATTACCGTAAATATTGTGGACTGTCACTCTGTGGAAGCATGGAAGGCCACCTGTTATTTGTACAAAGGACACAGATGCTGGTGCTAGGACCTGAAACTAAGGAAGAGAACTCAGTAGGGACGCTGCCCCAGACAAGTGTCAAATCAGCCAGGACAGCCCCAGATAACACAGTCCTCTTATGGCTCAAGCTCCAGGGCCACTTGCCCAAAATTAGAGACCACCACCAAATAGTTGGAGGCTAAGGAAGGATACTGCACTATAGGCTAAATGACTATTATCTTTGGCCTTCAAGTCAACAATAACTTTCCAAGGAGAAGAACTGCAAAAGAGCAGGAATATTTCTACACTATTGCCAGCGGTGCTATGAAAATCTGTTAAGACAGAAAAACTTGGTCCAGCTCAGTCATTTATTAGCTATTCGAGTTTGTGCACGTCTCTCGTCCTCTCTGAATACCTTTTGGATCCACAAAATTGTGAATTATATCTCCTTGGCAAGGTTTTGTGAGGATTAAAGAATTGTTGTAGGTAAAATGCCTAGAATAAATGCCTAGCGCACCATGAAGTTTTGGTAAGAGACAATTTCTTTTTACTTCCCCTTTTTCTCCTTCTCCTTTAGGTATAGTTCTATTTATTCGTTGACTTAAAATAGTGAAAAAGTGAAGGAGGAGGAAAAGAGGGAAGAGAACAAAGGGCATTATTTTAGTGGGTTCAGATATTATAGAGATTTCCTAATAAAATAACAGGTTACTACTAACTCTAGTTTATGTCTAAGTGCCAATTAATGCCGTGTGTGTGTGTGTGTGTGTGTGTATGCCTTTTTGCAAGAATTATGCCGTTTGCATTGTTTAGCTGCAAACATTTCTGTGCATGTGTTTTGTGTTCACTTTTGCATGTTCATTTTTATTTTGTTAATAGAATTAAGAAAATAAAACCTGGAAACCACATTTCTAGGCATTTTCTAGAAATCACAAGAAACTCGAGACCTGTCGTCAGTAGAACTATATCAGAACCACCTGAAGAGATGATTTAGTTTCATTTAAGGAATTTTCATGAAACAAACACACAAGGGGAGATGGAGAGAAAGTATGTGTTTGCAAAAGAGTCTTAGATTAGAAGACCTAGACAACACATTCATTCGTTTAACAAATATTTTTTGGGAAATTTTCACATGCCAGGATTGTGCTAGAGACACAGATATTTCCCAAGCTGCTAATTGCACATGGTCTCCTAAGTGAGAGCTACAAAAGCCCAGAGTCACTTTTTAGCTGCTTTTCTGCTATTTCCCAATAAGGGTCCGACTGGGAACTAACCAAACCAGAAGTTTCTAGAGCGTAGTGTGGTGCTCCACAGCTTGTAATGAGCAGGAACTAGAATGAACAACTGCAAGTTAATCACTTTTACAAGCAATGAGGACTACAGGCCATGCAGCAGTATTACAACCTGGTGGCTTGTTCCAGGGAAGACACTTGCAGTGAACTACACTCTCCCAGTTTGAGATACGTGTGATGGTCTCAAATCATGGCAAAATGTGTTTTCATGTTACCTATCCCTCCTCTGAATGCTCATACAAGGCACAGCCGACCCTCTATACCAGCGGAAGGTTTTTAAGCAATGTGAGATATTTCTACACAACACTTACCCATTTTGTAAAGAAAACTTTTTTACATTATCAAAATTTCTGATAAT